TAAGGCAGTTATGACATATATATGGGAAACATTGAGATATAAGAGAATGTAAGGCAGTTATGACATATATATGGGAAGCATTGAGATATAAGAGAATGTAAGGCAGTTATGACTAAGTACCAACTTTGTCTTGTTTTGTTTTCTTCGTTGCTTTTTCGCCTGGTTAACTAGAGTGGTGTTTTAACAATTAAACTGGGTGGAGGTCTCGGAACCTACGTGATCAACAAGCAGACCCCAAACAAGCAAATCTGGCTGTCTTCTCCTTCCAGGTATGTTCAGAAGCCCAAATCTGTCACCAGTAGACTTGTTTGAAACATGACAATGTGGACATTTAGTAAATGTTACCCTCGTGTGTTGGTAACTGTAAGTGAGCTTTTCCTGGTGTTTGCCAACGTGTCTTGTTCTCTGCAAAGTAGTTCGCTCTCATGCCCTGGTTATAGAGCTTCCCCATGCTCAGAATTTGACTACTAGAAGCAACGTCAGGTTGTTTACATGATCTGAGGGGCAAAGCTTATAACTTTTCAGAATCTTTCTTAACCAGCTTTACTTTATTCAATAATTGGTCTGCCTTTAATGGAACACTGTAATGTTATAAAACCTCAGCATCAAAGCAAATTGTACTTGTCCTTCAAAGCAAGTTCAGGTTTGACCTCTGATTTGTTCTGAGCATCTCAAATAAAGGTTAGTTTGAATTCCATTTGCAGAATCAGGCTGGGTGCCCTGGGGATGGGTGGGGCAAGCATTTTAAGCTACTATGCCAAGGTGCTTAATCATTCCTCGGCTTTTCTACGGATGTGCTTTCAATTCAGATGGATAAAAGGTTGTGTTGGAAACTAGCCTGTGCCTTGTCTCAAGGTCTGAGAACATGCAGGGAGAGAGAGGGACCTCTTCTGTCTGGCTGCTGTAGAAATGTTTGAAAGAAGCTCGAGAGACTCTTTCCAGAGCATTCATTAGAACTTCTAAAGAAATTTACTGATTGTGAATTAGGAAATCTAACCAACCAGGAATTCTTTAAACAAATAGAATTTGCATTACAAAAAAAAATTATAACCTTTTACCTTGTGGTGCTGTAGGATCAGCACTGGAATGCGAACCACAAGGTTGACAGTTCAAACCCACCAGCTCCTCCTAAGAAACCCTGTACAGGGTCACTATGAGTTGGAACCCACTCGATGGCACTTAACAACAACAAGAAGGCTTTAAATCTTCACGGGAGCAAAAACACTCATCTTTCTCCCGGGGAGTGGCTGGCGAGCTTGAGCTGTAGACCTTGTGGGTCACAGTCCAGTGTTTTATCATATGGAGCCACCGCGCTCCCCAAAATTTGCCAAAACTGTATGGATCACTATGATCTAATTCACCATCCTGGGCATGGTGCAGAGTCAGGCAGCATTTCATTTCATTGTACCTGGGCCACCACGAATTCGGGGCAGCTTGACAACTGCTAATAGCAACAATCGCTGGGTGATAATAAATTTCTGGAAAACTCAAGTTGTACTTCGTTTTAATTTATAATGTATGATGAGATTATGAAAATAAAATCATCTGAGCATCATAATAAAAACTTACAAAAGAAAGAAAATTATATATCACCGTAACATTATGAGTCTGACATACAACTTAAGTTAATTTGCACTGAATACAGATTTTAACAGGTAATGTTTTATATATGTTAGGATAAAATCTATAAATCTAAGTGTGAATTACTGTAATAAAAAATTTTTGTACACCTTGTTACAACAGGATTGTTGTTTAGTGCTGTTGAATTGGTACCAATTTATAACGATCCTGTATAGAATGTCCTTGGCTTCATATCTTTGAGGGAGCAGAGATCTTCATTTTTCTCTCGTGGAGCAGCTGGCAGGCTTGAACCATGGACCATGTGGTTCGCAGTCTAGTGTTTAATGTATGGAGCCACCACGAGTCAAAGACTAAATCATAAAAAAAGTTACTTTTATTTTTTACATATTAAATGTTTTTGAGCCAAAAAAAGAGAGATCTGAACAGCTGTTTGTTGTCACGGATACTGTGTTACTCTCCTTAAAAAAATATTTTTGTTTCTAATTCTCCCTAAATCTTTTACTTTAGTCCAAAATAACTTTCACAGGAGTACATTTCTGGGTTCTCAGTGGACAGTTTTTCAGGTCCTGTAGAAACAGTGGCCTTTCCTGGCCACCTTTCCCACCTGAGAAGATTCTAGAATGAAATAAAGGTGAAGGTGAGGTCTGGGCAGATACCTGGACCATTAGTGCGTGGTGGTGTGCAAGGGCTTGGAGAGCACCTGGGCTCTACCTGACATCGTAGCTGCAGAGATGGAGCGCAAAGAGGTTGAGTAAACATTCTCTGGAGCAAGAGATTATTATTCTTTTTTATATGTGTCCACACTGGTGGTATTTAGCTGTTTGTGCCCCTTAAACAAAGACCACAGTGTATTTAGTAGTTTTCCCCCTTTTAATCTCCATTATTGAGAAAGCATTTGTAGTAAGTTGAATGTTGTTTTTAATTGCATTGAGCAGTTCTGACTCATAGAGACCCTATATAGGGTTTCCAAGGAGTAACTGGAGAGTTTGAACTACTGACTTTGTGGTTAGTGGTCCAGTGCTGATCCTACAGCGCCACACCAGGACTCCAAGTTGAATGTTGTCATTGTTATTAAGGTGCTGTAGAATCATTTTCGATTCATAGTGACCCTGTATAGGGTTTCCTAATAGTGATTAGTGAGTTTCAACCACTGACCTATGGTTCAAACTGACCTTGTGGTCCAGTCTTTATTCCACATTGCCACACCAGGACCCCCAAGTGTAATAGTGTCCCCCAAAAGTTCATGTCCACCTGCAAGCTCAGAAAATGATTTTATTTAGAAATGGTTGGTTGGTTATATGCCATGGAGTCGATTCTGACTCTCAGTGACCCTGCATAGGATTTTTTAGGCTGTAAATATTTACTGAAGCAGAAAACTTCATCTTTCTCCCACAGAACCAGCTGGTAGTTTGGATCTGCTGACCTTGAGATTAGCAGCCCAACTCCCTTATTTAGAAACAGGACTTGGTAATGATCTCAAGATGAGCTCCTTCTAGATTGGGAGTAGGCCCCGAATCTAGTGACTGGCATCTGTATAAGGGAAAGGAGAGGGGGAGCTTGAACAGAGAGAACAGACACAGGGAGAAGGCCATGTGATGATGGAGGCAGGGATGGGAGTGATGCAGCTACAAGACAAGGAGCAAGCACTGAGGGAGCCACCGGAAGCTAGGAAGAGCCAGGAAATAATTAATTCTCCTTTTGATCCTGCAGAGGAAGCATAGCCTTGCCACCTTCTTAATTGTACCTCTGGCCACTACAACTGTGAGAAACTTAATTTCTGCTGCTTTAAGCTCCCTAGTTTATGGTGCTTTGTAACAACAGTCTTAGGAAACAAAACAGCCAAACCAAACCAGCTGCCATGTAGTCGACTTTGATTCATGGCAACCCCATGTGTGTCCATAAGGTTTTCATTGGCTGGTTTTTCTCAAGCAAATTGCCACGTCTTTGTTCCAGGGTGCCTCTGGGTGGACTCAGACTGCCAGTGTTGAAACACCAGCATTGGGTTGATAATTACAGGAATCCTTGACGGCCCTAAAGGGTATTTTGTTTCTAGACTTCCCTTTCTGGTAACGATGCCCAGTCTCAGTCTTTGGAGAGTCTCTCCTCGAGGCTACAGGCAGACTCAGGTGTCCCTTGTCAAGGGCGTTTAGTATACTCAGCTGTCACCTCCAACCAGATGTCTCTTGTACCCTCATTATCTGCTGGCAGGCCCACTCCCCTCCACGAGGCTGCGAGGAGGTGGGATCAATGGGCACAAGTTGTATCACCTGGAATAAAACAAGACAAAGCCATAGCTGGATCCACATCAGCATTTTCCAACGGTACATACCACCGTTGCTCATTAAATGAGTGGACAGGATGGATCAGCCTGCATTTCATGGACTTAAAGTCTAATTAAGAAAAATATGTTTTAAAGTAATAATATAGGTGGTTGGCAGAGGCAGAGAGGGAGGGTAGAATGGGAAATAGCTGCTTAATGGCTATGGAGGTTTTTGGGGGGTGATGAAAAATTTCTGGAACTAAAGATTCCTGGGTGGCACAAATAATGGCTGATAACCAAAAAGTTGCTGGTTCAAAATCCAACCAGCTATACTATGGAAGAAACAGGCCTGACAATCTGCTTTCATAAAGATTATAGTCAAGAAAACTCTATGAAAATCATCTGTATGAGACCAAATGGTCAACAAACTTTAAGAACAATGATAAGAATTAAGGGGCAGGGAAACTAGATTAATGGAAACAGAACAACCAGAATGAAAATATTGAGAAAGCTCATGAATTGTGAAAACTAACTGCTGTCACTAAATAGTTTGTGTACAAATTGTTGAATGGGAACCTAAACTGCTATATAAGCCTTCACCAAATACACAGTAAAATGCTTTAAATATTTTAAATAAAGGATATCCTATGGGGCAGTTCTATTCTGTCACAAATGGAACCTCTTTAGTCAATGAATTAACAACACCAACAAATAATGAAATCAAGAACAGTGTGTTTGGGTACTAGATAGAAGTGGCAGTCTCACATTGTAAATATACTAAATGCCACTGGATTGTTCACTTTAGAGTGGTTTACTGTATGCTAAATGAATTTCACCAGATACAAACATAACAATAATAATAGTATAGGAGGGGCACAAATTATATTAGTGGCACATAAATGGCCATAATTTTAAAACACTGCTCTAACATTTGTTGTTAAGTGCCGTTGAGTCTGATCCAATTCAGAGTGACCCTGTATAGGATTTCTGAGGAACAGTTGGCGAGTTTAAACCATGGACCTTGCAGTTCAAAACGTCCAGTGATTATCCTACAGTGCTCTAGCATAAATATTATGTGAATGAGGAAAAAGCAAGAGAACTTCAGTATGTAATAAACAGCCAGCAATAAGGTTCCAATGTTTTCAGGTCTTGAGGATTACTCTGGGCCTTGTTCCAGAGGAGGAAGTGTATGACAAGATATCAGATACGTGCTTCATTAAGTATTACTTTCTAGGACTTCACTCTGGTTAGTTTTTCTGTGGCAGCTTTTATGGAATCAGTAGAAATCCTTTTCTAAAAGGCTGTCCTTGCAGGCTCACTGTGTGTACATTTTTGTCTTCCAGTGGGCCCAAGCGTTATGACTGGACCGGGAAAAACTGGGTATACTCCCACAACGGCGAATCCCTCCACCAGCTGCTGGCCACCGAGTTTTCCAAAGCTTTAAAAACGAAACTGGACCTGTCTTCCTTAGCCTATTCCGGAAAAGACAGTTGATACCCAGCCCAGTTTTAAAGACATTAAAAACTACCAGTCCGAGACCATGACTCTGTTCTGATGCTGAGTGTTCTTTTGCCGTTCTGCCTGTAAGGACAGTTGTACTGTGTGTAACAACTCTTTGAAAAGAATGCCTCCGACTCCACCCCAAATGCTGAGGTTTTATTTCTATAGAACTTGTTTTTTAATGTGTATTATCTGATTTCTGCCCTCATTGACCTCCTTATGTTTTAAAATAGCTACAAACCCATCCTTTACTATAATCACCTTACAACAAAGAACAATGCTAAGAAGGAAAGTTCTGGAAGGATAAATGAATTGGCTTCACTCTTTTCTTTAAAGGACTTAACTACAAAAATGATGTGAAGAGCAACTGGCCAACCTCACCATTCTTTCTCACAATGATACGCGTTAAAGGTACTTTATAAATGTTTCCACACCTGTTTGAAAAGGTCAGCACTCTGGGGCATTTAGAACAGAAGGGCCCTACTGGACAGAGTCCTGATGTGGCACTGTGGGTTAATGCACCAGACTGCAAAGCTGTTTGAACTCAAGGTTGGTGGTTCAAGCTCACCAGCTGCTTCTCAGAAACCCTATACAGGGTCGCTATGGGTCGAATCCATCAAGGCACTTAACAACAACTGGCTGGAGGGTAGATGCATGCTAACTTCAGGGAAGATGGGAAATGGGGAAGAATTGAAGTGTCAAAGGCAACTTGGAAAGAAAGTAAAGACCATCTTCATCCTTTCTTTGTGACTTCCAAGGTGTGTGACCTCCACAGGATTACTCAGGGAGACTTGGTGTGGGTTCTTCCGTATACAAGGAGGCTTCAGAAAGTTTGTGCAAAATGGAATTAATGGACTTTTTCCACAAGCCTTTTGAAGCCCCCTCATATGTACATACACACATGCTGGTAAGTGCCATCAAGTTGTTTCCAACTCAGAGCAACCCTTGTACAGGTTTTCTGAGGAGCAGCTGGTGAGTTTGAACTGCCAACCTTGTGGTTCCCAATCCAGTGCTGAGCCTACAGCTCCATACCAGAGTCCACACATACATACACAAGTATTCATATATGTATCTGTAGATATTGTTGTGTGCCGTGGAGTCAGTTCTGACTCATAGCGATCCTACATAGGGTTTCCAAGACTATAAATTGTTATGGGAGCAGAAAGCCTCATCTTCCTCCCAGGGCTCCATTATATATACTGTTCTTAAGTGCCTTGGAGTCAGTTCTGACTCATAGCGACCCTGGATAGGGTTTCCAAGGAGTGGCTGGTGAGTTTGAACTGCTAATCTTGTGGCCAGCAGTCTAGTACTTACTATGCAGCACCATACCAGTACGTGTGTGTGTGTGTGTGTATTTTGTAGTCCAGTTTGAACAACAATATATTTAATTTAGTGTGGAATTAACTGCTAAAACACTGAGGTCTGAGAATGCAAGCAAAACAAAAAACACAAGACTGTCTCCCAAAAACATAAGGGAAAAAAAATAGCTGTCTCTAAAATCTGAATACAGTAGACAGGGTCAGGCCACAGAGCTGAGGGAGATACTTTGTAAATTGTGAAGAGCCACAATTGCAGGGAGATGTTTGTATTGGTGAGAAGAACCCTGGTCCTAGACTTGGCTCAGCCCAAACTAGTTCCCTCTCTCTGGGCAACAGTCATAATCCCTCCTGACCTCATTTTTCCAGTCTGTTAAATGGGAGGACTAAACTAGGTAGAATAATTGTCTACTGATTCACACATTGCTGACCCTACTAGGCAGCCTCCCGGGCTAGCTTTCATTCCCTCTGGGTAGATGAACAGATTGCAGTAAGCAATTTGAAAAAATCTGTATAGTAAATATATTGTCATTTGTATTATTCTGTTGAGTTTTTGATTGAATTCATGTTAAAATAGTAACCATCCTTTGTTGTGTCCCTACTGTGCTAAGCCTCTTACACCACGTTGTTGTTAAGTGCCTTGGAGTCAATTCAGACTCACAGCGACCCTATATAGGGTCTGAGACTGTAAATCTTTGCAGGAACAGAAAGCCTCATCTTTCTCCCGCAGAGCAGCTGGTGGGCTTGTACTGTTGACCTTGTGGTGGTCAGTCTATTACTTATCCTATGGAGCCGTACCACATAACCTTGTTCTAATCTTTCATGATTTGTAGTTTACACATGAAGAACCCAAGGCTCAGGAATATAAAAAAACTCACCCAAAGTGATGCATATCTTCTGTTATCTTCTTACTAAAGCAAGATTTATTAGTGACAAGTCTGTGCAAATGTGTAGCAGTGGGTGAACCCAAAACCTATTCTATTATGGAAGAAGAAGAAAAAAAATCCAAGCAATATAATAGCATAAGTCAATAGATGCTAAATGAGTATTTAAAATATTTCCTTTCTTCAGAAATAAAATTGTTTTTGAGTGATTGGAATTTTGAAGTGTGGAAGACCAGTGAGAAATAAAACAAAATTGTGCTTGCATATTTATACCTTCTAACGAAAGTTTTGTTATACCTCGCTTGGAAAGGTTTAAGTGGCCCACTCACCTACAGGGCACATTATCAGGCTAAGAAGTGTACCTCCAGGATACTATAACATGAAAGTTTGTTGTTAAGTGCCATCAAGTCAGTTCTGACTCATAGCAACCCTGCATAAGGTTTCCCAAGGAGCGGCTGGTGAGCTTGAACCACCGACCTTGCAGTTCAAATGACATTGCAATCCAGCACATTAACCCACAGCACCACACCAGGACTCCATAACATGAAAATGTTGTTATGTGCTGTTGAGTCGGTTCTGACCCATAGTGACCCTGTGTAGGGTTTCCAAGGAGCAGCTTGTGTGCTTGAACAGCTGACCTTGCTCTTCAAACTGACTTTGCAGTCCTGCGTCACACCAGGACTCCAACCTGAAAATAGAAGTTATGAACTATGTGCTTCTTGACTTTCTTTATGGGCCAGCTGTTTGGACCTATGAGTCCATTCTAAGTCATAGTGACCCTATAAGGACAGAGTAGACTACTTCCTAGGGCAGAAGCAGACTGCCACATCTTTCTCCTGCAGAGTTGCTGGTGAATTTAAACCGTTCAAGCCCAACGCTTAGCCTCCTACACCATCAGAGGATGTGGAGGCCATAGTCCCCCACCCTTCAGATGGACCACATTTCTGGTCCAATCACTGATATTAAGGATGATTTCCAGGAAAAGACTGTAAAATCTTTAGTACAACATTTGAAGGAGCTAACCAAATATGTAATCTAGTTTTTGAAAATTTTTTTCTATGTTTAGCTACTTGACTATGTAAATAGGTAGCCACTTAGGAAGTCAAATCACCCAGAGAAAATAGCACATAGAAAATGAAATTACCATGATTTACCTCTGCCTGAAGTTACAGAGGAGGGTACCCTGGTAGTGCAGTGGTTACGTGCTGCTAACCAAAAGGTTAGCAGTTCAAACCAGAGACTGGCCCTCAACCATCCTCAGGTCTGGAATAGAACTCACCTTTGTGGCCCAATTTTCAACCAGGCAGTAGATGGGGGGACAATACTAGCGAGATATGTTTACCATGGAATGGACAACCATTCATCAAAAGGGCACCATTTACCTGGGAACGAGGTTCAGAGGGTTGCGAAGGAAGGTAGAAATGGGACTATAAACCACTGGGAGGAAGCCAACTTCATTACATGGAGGGGATTATTATCGTTAAAATGAAACAATGTGTGATTTGTTGAATGCAAAAATGATAATTGATTATGCAAACCTTTATTCAGTTTACAACAAAAAGTGTCCCAAAAACAAAAAATAGGGTCAGCAGTTTAAATCCACCATCTGCTACATAAAAATCACAGCGTTGAACACCCTATAGGGCATTTCTACTCTATCCTATCAGGTCATTATAAGTCAAAATGACTTGATGGTGATGGATTTGGAAGTCACAGAGGACTCCCTGGATGGTGCAAACGGTTAACACCCTTGTTAATCACTAAAAGGTTGGAGGTTCGAGTCCTTGGAAGGTAGGCCGGGCCATCTGCTCCTGAAATTCAGCTACTTTTAAACCCTATGGAGCACAAATCTACTCTAGTCCTCTTGGGGTTGCCGTGACTCAAAATCAAGAGCAACTGTGTTTGTTGTTGTTGCTTTTCTAACTACAAAGAAGCAGTATAGAACACTTTTCATCTTGTCTAGACGGGTCTGGTGAAAGGAGATTGGGATAAGATTCGTATGATTCAATAGTGAGCAATTGTTATCATGACTAACTGCGATAGTCACAACTGTAAAGGTAGAAGTTTTGTAAAATAAAAGGGGAATAGTTAATCTTACATTACAGGAACAGAGAACTCTAGGATTATCAAGGGAGAAGAGCATGAGCGAAACGTGGGACCCTAACCAGAGAAGCAGTGACACCAGAGATGGAGGCAGAGGTGATGGCATGGAGAGATAGAGCAGCTGAGAACTCTAGACTTTTGGAAAGAGAAGGGTTGTGTGCTGGTGGCCAGGAGGCAGGCGTGAATGTGCCCTTTGGTTGTTTAAATGATTATATATTCCTGAGACTTTTTGTGTACATCAAAAACAGAAACGGAATAGGATCAAATACTATTGAATGATGATGCACGGAGGGGATTGTAATCTTTGTAATAAAACGAAATATGAAAATGTTAGGATGAGTGCAAAACCGATGTTCTCCCATGTAAATTATCACTCAATTCACAATTAAAGCTTAAAAAAACAACAACAGTGGAATATGTAAACAAGTATCTGAATTCTTAATCATATGTTTCTAAGTTTGATCTATACTCTGCCACTTGTTTGTGGACACTAGCCTCAATTTTCTTATCTGTAAATTATCTCTAAATCGATGTCTAATGTGTTAGTCTATGCCAATGAATTTGTAAGATAGCTGCCTGGCCAAGAGAGCCTTATTTGTGTCCATTCCAAAGAATGGAAATCATCCAATAATATTATTAATATTATATGCAAGTATAATTTTGCTGATGATAATCCAAAAATGATTGCAGCCATACGCTAACAGGGTGC